TAAATTTATATAATTTATAAATATATAAAATAAAAATTAGCAGAATTTCTTAATAAATTTGGTATTGAGTTATTGATGTAAAGAAGTAAAGAAAGAAGTAAAAAGAGACTTTTTTATTGTAAGAATTCTAATAAAATTAAAAAAAAAATTAGTAGCTTTAAAATGTTTTATACCCAAGGAAAAAATAAAAAATAATCTTTCTGGAATAAAAAATATAGTGTAATAGTGTATTCTATGCCAAAGGCTAGAGTACAACCTGATTGCTGTTATTTTTTTTAATATTTAACAAGAGAACGAGCAAGAACTGGAGTTTAAAAATGGTGTAAATAAACAATAAGGAGGTGTGTGTTTATTTTTTTATTTCACAGACGAGTTTGCTTTCAGAAAGAGTACTGACTCCGGTAACTGGTGCAGACTCAGCTTCATCAATAAGTCTAGAGTCAAAAAACATGTAAGTTGATGCTTAAATTATGCACATGCACAAGTACGAACACACACTGGTACTTTAGCCAAAATTGAAGCATCTTATAACCCTGTGGGTTTTTGCCAAAATCATAGTGGTAGGTAGAGGGAGTGAAGTCATCCTAGCACAGATCTCAGTAAAATTACAAAATTGTTCTTGACCTTTCAGGACTTTCTTGTCTTACAGAGTTGTGTCTAATCTATGTAAAATTGACTTAAAGTTGATTTTCTCTGATTACGGAAATTGGTTTGGGAAAAACGTGAATTAGAAAGCATAAAACAAAATAGCTGTCAAGAGTTTATCTTGTGACTTTGATGTGGTGTTAATTTAAAATGTTGTTCTTCTGGATGGTATCTACACATTGAAAATATTATGTAGAAAGATTGGCAGCATTCTGGCTGAAAGCCTGGTGCATATTAAGTGAAAGGCATCCTTCCTTTTATACTAAAACTTAATGTCCCTTTATAGATGTTTGTCTGCATTGAGATGAGAAATATACAAATATTTGTGATCCTGAAAATTCAGGGTGATGTTGGTGCTAGTGCAGAATCTAGTTAATTAAGTGGATTCTTGTTTATACTTTACCATAGATGTCATGTATAATTTGCAAAGATCCCTCAACAGTTATTACTCTAGTCTGTGGTGATGGTATGTAAACTGGTTACAGCAGTTCAAATCTAGTGGTAAAAAGAATCCTAGGGATGAAGAGGTCTGAGGAGGCTGTCACTAGTCACTACTATTGACATGAGCCACGATTTCCTCCTAGCATCTGGATTTTTCATTGAACTATGGAACAAGACATGCTGATTTATTTCTGGGTGATGATGATCCAAGGGCTGGAGCGCCTCTGCTATGAAGAGAGGCTGAGAGAGTTGGGGCTGTTCAGCCTGGAGAAGAAAAGGCTCCGGGGTGATCTTCTAGCAGCCTTCCAGTACTTAAAGGGGGCCTACAGGAAAGCTGGAGAGGGACTTTTTCCAAGGGCATGTAGTGACAGGACAAGGGGCAATGGCTTTAAACTGAAAGAGGGCAGATTTAGATTAGATATAAGGAAGAAATTTTTCACTCTGAGGGTGGTGAGGCACTAGAACAGTTTGCCCAGAGAAGTTGTAGATGCCCCATCCCTGGCAGTGTTCAAGGCCAGGTTGGATGAGGCTTTGGGCAACCTGGTGTAGTGGAGGGTGTCCCTGCCCATGGCAGGGGGGTTGGAACTAGGTGATCTTTGAGGTGCCTTCCAACCCAAACCATTCTATGATTCTATGGGTGAAATTTTTGCTTCTGAACATGCCATGGCAGGGATTCTGCAGGAGATGCGATTAAAGTTTGGGGTAATGGTTGACTGCTATGAGAGAAGCTGCGTGCTGCTTGTTAGTGATAGGAGTCAAAAATGGGAAATGAGAACTAGAGATGAGAATCCAGCAAGTGAATGCTTTTAGAGAAGCGGAATCACAAGAGTCTAGTGATACCTGCAGGGATTGTACCTAGTCAAAGGTGATGTAATTACTTCACTTTTCTTTTTAGGGCATTGAATATTTTGTAGGGCAGAGGGTATCATCATACTTAATTCTTGCAATTACTGTTCTCCCTGCCATGTCTACAGAAAATATTTTCCATTTATGTGCTGTTAGTACGTGAAGCTGTTGTGTATATATAGCACTTTATTTTCATAATTCTGTACTAATTTTTAGCAGGAGCCTTTATCTCCTCAAACGTGAGTTTTTGTTAGTTCCTCATAGTGTTTTTAAATTGGTGAGAAATTCTGTTCCTGCTTTTCCAATTGGTAACTGCAACATGAATACCTTACTGTCTGACTCTAGACAAGTCTTTAAGTCCTAAGTACATTTAAGGATGGCATGGGTCTTTTGGGTTGCTCCTTTCATCTTTCTGTTCTAACTAACCTTAGTTTTTCCAGGATGAGTTTGAATGTTTGTCTAATACATACTACAACTTTCCCAAATGCTTTTTAAAACTAACTTGTAGTAGACACATAGAGTAAACCTAGAGTCCAGTGAGTGTTGTTTTTCAAAGTTAGAAATTGTAGTTTTTGTTTTTTCCCATGCTTTTTACATATCTTTTTTAATTATTATTTTGCTACTCTTGCAGTTTGTTATGGGAAGAGACTTTGCTAGATGCCTTGCTAAATTTTTCTGCTACACCCAAAGGACTATTTCTGCTTCACAGTACGGGTGTCTTGAATGATTGCGTGAACTTTATGTTCAACAGTTTATCAAAGAAACTCCAGGTAAGTGTTACGGAGTCTGTACAGTTTTTCTTTCCTTTAATGATTATAATGAAATACAGAAGAAAGAAAATAATAAGAAAATAAATCTAGAAACCATTTTGTCACTTAATTTTTGCAAAAATTAATTTAAAATGTAGCTTATCATCTTTGATATTGGTGCCACACTGATTTAAGTTTGTTGAACGTTACTCATCTTAAGAATGTCAGACATATAGTTAGTTTTTCTATGTACTGTAAAGTTTGAAAAGCTAAGCAAAATACTTTTTCTTTTTTTCTTCTAAGTGCAAATTTTTCTAGACCAAGTTGATAGGTAGTGTTGAAATCTAGATATGCTAGACAATACTTGAACTGTAACCAAAAATTGGGTAATATGCGTTTTAGGAGGAAAAAAAATGTTACAGACATCCTACTGAATGTGTGCAAAACCATTATAACGCTAATGTTTTTATTCTTTGCTGATGTTGCATGTCACAACCATAGTATTTTGCATTTAAATTTTGTTAAGATACTGATAAAGATGTTTGGTTTGGAATCTGACCCTGGTAAGTCCGTAGAGGATAATATCTGTGAACTGTTCAAGTGTAACCATACAGTGGATTAAATTCTGTGAACAAGTGTAGGAAAGATCAATGTTTAAGAGATCATGAGAGTTTCTTGCTGTTGTGGTTTAACCCCAGCTGGCAATTAACCACCACCCAGTCGCTTGCTTACTGCCTCCTGGTGGGATGGGGGAGAGAATCGGAATGGTAGAAGTGAGAAAAGTTGTGTGATGAGATAAAGACAGTTTAATAGGTAAAGCAAAAGCCACGCCTGCAAGCAAAGCAAAACAAGGAATTAATTCACTGCTTCCCATGGGCAGGCAGGGTTTCAGCCATCCCCAGGAATGCAGGGCTCTGTTGCACATAACAGTTACTTGGGAAGACAAACTCCATCACTCCGAATGTTCCCTGCTACCTTCTTCTTCCCCTGGCTTTATATGCTGACTGTGATGCCATATGGTGTGGAATATCCCTTTGGTCAATTGGGGCCAGCTGTCCCAGCTGTGCCTCCTCCCAACTCCTTGTGCACCCCGAGCCTACTCACTGGTGGGTTGGGAAGAGAAGCGGAAAAGGCCTTGACTCTGTGTGAGCACTGCTCAGCAATAACTACAATAGCCTTGTATGATCAACACTGTTTTCAACACAAATCAAAAACTTCGCCCCATATTAGCTACTGTGAAGAAAATTTATCTCTGTCGCAACCAAAACCAGCACGCATGCTCTTTAAGTAAATAACATTATGCTTTTATATTTGTTATTCGCAGACAAGTGAATATGAAGAGTTCAGTAACAGAGTGATTGTTACACAAATGGCAACAACACCACCAGGCGCAGTAGCTCTACAGACTTCAGGTAGATTGAAGAACGATGTTGTTATAAATAGTTACATGCTGTAGTCTTGTGTATGAGAAAAAGACGACGAGAAAGACATTAAAAAAATCACCAACAGTGGAATAATACAGTATTAGCAAAGACTGCTTAAATCTCTGTTGATTTCTTCTTGATGGAAGCTTACTCTTTCCAACTTCTAAGTCATTTACTTATCTTGATGCAGGGTTGTTGTTGGGTTTTTTGTTTGTTTTTTTCTTACATAATGCAAAATCTTTACTTCATTGGTTTGAGTTTCCAGAAATTTCCTGTATGTGCATGAAGACATTTATATCTGTTAAAAAATAAGTTGCTAACCATTTGCAAGCACTTTTTATTGATCTACAGAGCAGAATTAATAACTGTTGATTTCTGTAATTTGTGTGTAATTTTTCAGATTTGTTCTCAGATAACTTAACTGTTACCTTACCACCCAGCAGTCTAGGTAGTCATTATGTTAAAACTAGAAACTTATCAGTAAAGTAAAGCTACTGACTTAAGTTGCTAAGGAAATCTATGAGGTAGAAAAGTTGTAAATATTCTTTCTAAGAATCTAGAAGTGAGTGGTGTGTAATTAAAATGACTTGACTGAAAGACTGTCAGAAAGGCAGGCAAATTCTGGCAGTCAAGGAAACTGATTGTCAGTTGCTTATTATTTATGCCTCTGGGATCTTTCAGAAAGCAGGGAGCAGATCTACTTTAGGAGTAGCTGATCTGTCCTGTTCAAGGTTCTCAGCCAAGTTGCTTCCTGTGGTCCTTGTTGTCAAAGACAAGTGATAGATGAAAAATAATCAGAAAATTGATTTTCAACCCTGAGAGGAGGTTGTGTAATGTATGTATAGCTTGCATTAAGCCTACATCCTGCATTTGGGAATTTCAGAGTTAAATAGCTGTCCTTCCTCTTCTATTTTAATACTTAACATTTTAAATTCAGCTAGTAGTGCTTCTCTTAAAAAGATTTTTTTCAGTCCTTAACATCTTGTTGTGGTATGTTTTCATTTATTAATAAGTTACAGTAAATATGTATTTTTAAAACCACAGAGCAAATACTAGCTAAACCTTGATCTGTAGCACTTAACTTGTTAAAGGTCAGCAGCTCATTTACCTCTCCTGTAAAGACAGGCTGAGACAGTTGAGGTTGTTCAGCCTGGAGAAGGCTCCAGGGAGACCTTCTAGCAGCCTTCCAGTACCTAAAGGAAGCCTACAAGAAAGCTAGAGAGGGACTTTTTGCAAAAGCCTGTAGTGATAGGACAAGGGACAATGGCTTCAAACTGAAAAAAGGATAGATTTCAATTAGATCTAAGGAAGAAATTCTTTATTCTGATGGTGCTGAAGCACTGGAACAGGTTGCCCAGAGAAGCTGTGGATGTCCCATCCCTGGCAGTGTTCAAGGCCAGGTTGAATGAGGCTTTGGGCAACCTGATCTAGTGGAAAGTGTCCCTGCCTGTGGCAGAGGGCTTGAAACTAGATTATATTTAAGGTCCCTTCCAACTCAAACTGTTCAATGATTCTATGCTATGTCATACTACTCTAGTATAATAGTCTTTGCAAATTGTTGCTGTAGATTTTAGGTTAAATATAAACAGACTGTTGTAGAGAGGTAGTTTGACTGAAGGACAGAGAAGAGCAGGGAGGGTAACTCTAAGGCAGTGAAATTTTAGTCCACAATGTAGAGAATTTTGAGGATCTTAGTTAGAATTATGGTGTAAAATGTTTTTAATATGAAAACTGTTTTTCTGGTGTTCTTGCCATTCTCATGATTAGAACAAAATTTGTTTTAGGCTTTATAAAGGCACTCATAACTGAATTATGGGCTCTTTTGGAGTGTGGAAAAGATGATGTGAGGATAACCCAACCCAAATCTACTCCAGTTGACCCTATTGACCGAAGCTGTCAGAAGGTGAGAAATTAATCATCTGTATTGGCATGGAAAAAACAGTGCTGTATTTCAGATAGGATGATACACACCTTTCTGTCACTTTTATTGCGTCTACACATTTCTTGGCACGTGGGGCAAAATTAGTGTAATACACTGGTCAACTGATGGCTGATTGAAAGGATTCTTGTGTTGCGTGGCAGGTCGCAATGCCAAGGATACACTGATGCAACATAAAATAAGAAAGAACAATTGTGACAAAAGTGATAGTCTTAAAATACTGGCCATCAGTTCATGTCCCTGATTACTGGAGTAAGACCAGGGAGAGTCGGATGTTTTAGAATATGCTGTGTCTCTAGATTTTAGAATTATGTGGTGATGTAAATACAATAATTTTCAGACTTGCTTGTACAATTTGATAGATAATACATATTTCACAGACACTACTGCCCTTTTAGATTACATAGACACCTGCCAGGGTTTGCAGTCTCATTTTAGGCAGCTCTATTTATGTCAAGTTCAGCCGACAAAGAAGGATGAGAACAAACTTAAAGTAAATAGGAAATAATTGTTAGCATTTATTTGGTTATGCTTAACTGATTAACGTTCCCTTTTGTCTCCTCTTTTTTTTTCTTTCTCTAGTCTTTTCTGTCTCTGATAAACTTGCTCACTTATCCTGCAGTTTTTGAGCTCCTGAGTAAACAAGATATACCAAATAAACCAGTGTATTCGCTCCGCGAAGTACCTACGGATATTATTGTACGTATAGTTTTTATTTTGGAAGAAAAAGAAATACTTCTGTGAAGATGTTTTTCCTGAGAAAATGTTACTGTAATAATAGAATAAGTTTTTTCTTCTTACTGAAGTAAAAGATTTTGCATTTTTCTGTATTTTGTAATGTATACAGCATGAGGGCAGTATATGCACATATCACTTCATGTTAACCTAAATTTTCATTTTGAAATCCTAAAGCTAATATAAAACTTGATGCCTGATTTAATGATCATCTTTCCTGGCTTGTGTTAGAATTGTGTTCTTCCATGGAAAAAAAAGTGACGTTCATAAACATCCCTGTATGTGCATGCAGTTATATGCTGGAAAATCTCTATACTTATATTTTATATAATATTGCTCTATCACAGTATCTGTGATTTTAAACAAAAATAAATAAAAAAACCACATCAAAACCTCAGGCTTTCTTAGTAGCACAGATGATTCACACACAGAAAAAAATCACTAATTGGAAAGTTACTGATTAAGGCATATTTAAATCCTAAGAAAAATAGTATCTCCTTTTCTGTATTTAGTGTTATTTTGTATTAGTTCATCCAACTACAGTCTTTTAGTTTTTTTTCTCATCTACAAAACACAGGCAAATATAATCTGTGACCTTGAGTAGCAGTTAAAATCAGATTTTTTTTCTAATGAGCTAGCACTTTGTACTGCTGTTGTGTTAAAGTGTTTGTTTAGCACAAGCTCTGGATTGGTGGTAGTTCAAGTTGTTTAGACAGAGTATATCGTAATAATGCATCTCATGTTTGGAAGGGATTTTTGTATTTCTTTTTTGTAACACTCTTTTGATGATTTCAAGAGGAAATGGAATGATAAATTTCATTTTTCCAATCCAGTCAATGCTGGTAATTCTATTTGGTCATCAAGTTTTCTGAGGTGCTGGGCGTAGGGGAGATAGATGTATGTTGAAGGTGATACATATTTCCGATTGGGGTAGATCTTAAGTAATGATTTTTGTGACTTTCGAAAGTCTATGTTGTTTTGGCTTTTGAGGCATTTCAGTGTGTTGCTGGAATTCTCTAGGTTTTCAGAAATAGCAGTACTTATACAATTGTTCAAAGTTCTTTGAACGATTACAGACGTTTTGGATGAGGTTTGTCTCACTCATCTACTGTGCAACAGTGAGTTTTGTAAGCCTAAGACAGACATCTAAGACTATGTAGTTAACAGAAGGGAAGTAATTAATTCTAAGTCTAAGTACTCAGAAAACTTCTGGTGTTAAGCAGACATATAGATTTGTTATAACCACTTTTTTGGGCAGTGATTGCAGAAAGCTGAAAATAAAAAATCCTACCAGATATAACTATAGCTAGAAAGCAAAGTAAAGGCAATGTTGGTGCTACTAGAAGGTTTGGTTAGAAGACCCAATTGCTTTGTGTGCTTTTTTTTTTTCTGTATTTCTTAATCATGTCACATTGCTGCAGAATCTGACATGTAATGTTTATGCTGAACTATATTTGATAATGCACAGAACTTAATCATCTTTGTATGCCCTTTATTTCTTAAACACACAGGATTTAAACATTTTTTCCTCCTTTGCATTTTTGGCTAACTAGTTGCATCATTGACAGAACAGATTATCTGTTGGGTTTTTACTGCTTCTAACTGTTGACTAACCAGGTTTTTCTTTTGTGCCCTTAGAAGAAAAATGCATAAATCCTGCCAGTTTTTTTTTTTACTCTACCATATAAAAATGTTTTAGAAAATGGCATAGATGAATCAGGGTCCTTCTGCCTGCCTCCGCTATTCCTTTGAGAGGTTCTACAGTACACGTGTGCAAGGGAATCTAGCTTGGAAGGTACCCTCCAGATCTGTAGCTTTGAAAGACATGTTTAAGCAGGTGAAATTATTTTTTCTTTTTTTTTCTTTTTTTTTTCCCCAATGATTATGGAGAATCTTATATTTAGGTGGTGTATCTTAGATATTCAAAGTAGATGACATCCTACCTGTAATATTTAAGCTATGCTCTGTAGTTGAGCAGTGCACATTTATCTGCACATTTGTCTGATCGGACCGTGTATTGGACCTTGTTCACTATCTTCCTTCCTGATATCCCATATGAGAGCTTGGTCTGCTTTCTCAATAGTCCTCTCTCCGTGCCTGCTCTTTCTGCTCTTTTGAAGCTCCAAGCTTTGACGAACAGATGATAGAAGAAGGTTGTTGCCAGCGAAATATCCCTTGGCATTTAGCTCTTTATACATGCAAATATCTAAAAAGCCTTCAGCCCAAACAAGTCAATTGCTTGCATTACCGATTTTATGAACAGCCTTGAGGTCCGAGTTGAATTGTTTTACTGTGAATTTTATCGTGAACATAAAATGTGGAAAAAGTGCATTCTTCACAGCCCTCTCTCCTACCGCCCCGAAAAATCTAATAGGGAAAATATGCTTTCATTGTATTTTAGATACGAGTGCATTTTGTGAAGACAATTTATTTTGACAAGTTCTAGAATTCTACAACTGGGAGTTTTACTTGTGGTGTTTACTTTTCTCTCTATTGAAAAACAGAGCTTTGGTTGATTTCGTGAAAGTGTGGATCTTAACTTTTCTCTCGTATCATATTGAAATGACTTGTTGATCTAACCAGTTGAATAATAACTCCCTCTGCTGTCACTGAGACTATACTTCTTAAACATGGAGAAAATAAAAGTTTGGATTTAATACAGATTAAATAAAGCCTGTAAGGACTTTGTAGTTTGTTTCTTCTGACCATGGCACCACAATCTATCTCTGAGACGATAACATCAGTGAATGTTTTTATGCATTTCTTAGTCTTTTAATGAAATTATTTCTTCAGAAGCAGTTTCGATATGCAGTGAATCAGAAGGGAAGATAATTAAGTTGGATTTGTGGTAGAAGTGGGAAGCAGCCACAGGTTGTTGTCTGTTATATGAAATGCTGTAGGATGGAAGATGTAAGCCTCAACATCCAAGCCTAGCCTTGCTACACTGAGAATAAATGGCCATATTTGGAAGCATGTGCTACTGACTAGTGTTAGAAAGGGTATTATACTAAAGGATTTGCTGTTCTTTTCATTAAGATAGATATATGTGCATTTCAAACATGGAAAAAACAGTTTAACGTTTTCGTTGTGGTTTAATGCTGAATAAGAAGTAGGACTCTTGATATGCTAGAATCTTTTTGTATGTTTAGTGATTTTTTTTTTTTTAACTGAGTTGGTTTTTTTTCCCCTAACCTTCTGTATGGTTTCTTTCTGCCATTGAGTTTTATGGTGGAAAGCACCTCTTCTTACAGAAATAATTTCATTTATAGTAAACATCACTATGAAACTATTATGTGCATAAAATATAAAAACATACATGAGTTTTTTATATTTGTCTTCCTTTGGCAGGATATCATTGACAGGCTTATAATATTGAATTCAGAAGCTAAAATTCATTCCTTATTCAGTTATGAACAATCACATATCTTTGGTCTGAGGTAAGATGCTCATTTATTATTTTCTAGTCACATTAACTAAATAGGATATAACATGCTTGGATGTGTTGCTTCTGATAAGATAACATTGTTTTTTATTATGCATGAAGGTGAAATTCCTCCTTTTTTTTAACATAAGAAGATTAAATGAAAAATGCCCTACAAAATGAGAATAGCAATGAATCTAATCGTATTACCTGTAAATGGATATATTATAATATGATAAGCAGTAATAGAAATTGCATGTTGTTATTTTGCCTACTTGATTGAAAAGAACATGTCGTACATCCATTATAGTGCATAAAACAAAAATCATAGTGAAATACTAAAATAAACAAAATATTTTTTTACCACGTTTATATCAGAGTTTGGCTTATCTAGTCTCCTGTACTTAAAATTTTTTTTTTTTAATATATTGGTTTAATTATCACAAATTTCACCAAAATCTATTTTGAGACAGAGAGTACCATTTGATCCCAAATATTTCTAGAAACTGAAGAAACACTTTAAAATATACTCACATTGTCTTGCTCGTATTTCATAATATTCAATGCTTTGTAATTTTTTAACATAGAAATTAGTTTCTGCATTTCTTTTCTGTTTTCCAAAGTTTAATATATAAATCCTTAAATTCACATTTTTGTTTTTAACATATTTTGTGCAATTGAAATAAAATATTTGCTGGATTGTACTTCGTAGTATGGAAAACTTTAATAACCTTGCTTGGGCAAGATCTGGCCCAATTGGTTAAGTACCGCAACGTCAGCATTCCAAAGCTGTATTTCTACTTTGTTATCACAGCAAAATTATTTCATACTATGAATGAATAACCATAAGATACAGTATAATTTACTGATAAGGATGAGCATGGAGGAGATGAACAGTGGCAGGTTTTCGAGTTGGCAGATATATGATTTTGTTGTATAAATTGGAAGCTATAAATGCTGCTTTGGAGGGAATCACTAGTTGGATAGGAATGAGAAATCCTAAGATGAAATTTGAAAAATAAGATATTTATCATTTAGGATTATACTGTCTCCATGAAAAGCTTGACAGAACTCCTGTTAATTGAATTAGGCATAAAGGAAAGTGAGATGTTTTACTTTTAAAATAAGAGTTTGCTTTTAGATTGTGTTGTACCTTTATAAGGTGAAAGAACAGATTCCTCCTACAATGATATGAGGAACCCTTGTAAGATACAGGCAGAAGTTAATTATTAGTATTAGTGTGAGCGATTGACTCTCATGCTGTAAGACAGAGACTGGTATACAAGTACCTGGATCATGTGTTGAGGTTGTGTTGAATACTTAAAAATATTTTAAACAAGCCTATTGCCTGTGAGGCAGCAGAACTACCCGTAACTACACGTATGAGCAATGTAACAAGCTCATCTGAATTGTGTTAAAGAAGCTATATTATTACACAGATAAGATGAGCTTAGAGTTCACTGTGGTAATGACATTTTCTGCTGGACCCTGACAGCTGCTTGATTTCCAGAAAAGATTAATATTTTCAGTGTGGAAACTTGCTCATAAAAATGGTAGATATCGTAATAATTAAGTAGTAATCAGATAAAGGAAAGATTTTAGAAACGTTTAAATATAATTTTCAGTAGAGGCTTTGTGTTCTGCAGGGACTTTTGGAATCTCAGTGGTTTTAGAACCTCATATTTAACTTCATTTTTAACAGATTCAGTTTTTTTTTTTTCAATCATTCAAAAGCCCTGTTCCTTTCCCCCCTGCCTTTCATTGCCTTTCCTATAAAACAAAGGAAGATACAATTCTTTGTTTTCTTATTGATTAAACGGCTTTTCATGAGCATGTGAGGGGGCTTACTGTACAAATATTTTTGCAAATAATAGAGAATCGGCACATACAAGCCTTTTATTATGACTAGTTCAACTGTCTGCACAAAGAGAATTTTTATTCTTACATAGTTATTCATAAAATTTCCCTATTAAAATGATACCAGAATTCAGGATGATTCTGGAATTTGTCATGTTTACTGTATCGTTTACAGTGTTAAGACTTGCAGGAAACCTTAGGCTATATTATCTGAATATGAGAGGTATACAGTTCATTTTAAATGCCTTTTGAAACCAAGTTCCATGAGCTTTTCTGTGAGTCCTGCTGACTGCAGACATCTGTGTTCTGTAAAGTGAACCTTGCTTTGTGTAGCTGGTTTATTCCTTGACCAAATTCCATCAAGAACGACAAATTCAGTGGCAGTTAAATCCAATAAGATCTGATGCTTAACAGATCTGAAAATGTAGAAGGTTAATTAGAAAGAGAAAAATATCTACATTTCTCCTTGCTGCTATGTAGAAATAAAATATTTAAATGTTTATGATAACTGCAGCATTGAAAAAATGAAGAGTTTTGTGACTGAATGATTTTGTTGAGAAGCGTTTGTCTAGAAACATTTCTTTCTGCTAGACTTCATACCAATAGTACAGCCAAACCTACTTTCTTTAATCGTTCACAGATCTACGTAGCTGTGTACTTCGTTATTTGGTCAGGTGTCATCGTACGTGTGGCTCACATGTGCAATGGCCTAGGATTCCTCTTCAGTAGTTTCACAGACACATATCTGGTATTCCTTTAATTGCAGCTATTGCCTGCTGCTTCTAGGATGAGATACCAGTTAATTAAGCTATTCCTACCAATTAAGCAGCTATTGCCTGCTGCTTCTAGGATGAGATTTATTCACTTGAAGGCTCTTCTATGATGATGATGAAACTTTAGGCAGTAAGTTGGAGATAAGACTGGAAAAGTGAAAGTTCCTAATTTGTGTATACAAAGATTTTCAAACCATCATTTCCACATTCAACTTCAAAGCAGATTTGTACTTATTTAGGTAGCAGGAAGTCTCTCAATCAGCCAGTACTGGTTGAGGAAAGAACACTGGAGGCTGTCTCAGCCGCTCTTTGTACAGCCTGAAAATCTGGGTGCACAGGAACTGATGCAAAAATTCTCGATAGTCTATTTTAGAAGACTCTGAACTTAAATTGCTCTGAGAGTACAAATCCTAGAGAAAGAGAATTCAGAGCAGTAATCAAAGAAATAAATTTTTAACATACTAAACACAGAGAATTTTCTTAATTTAGTGATCAGCTTTATTTCTCTTATATTGATCTTCTGAATTATCGAATGTGAGAGAGAACAATTTTATGGAGGGTTGACCTTGGCTGGACTTCAGATGCCCACCAAAGCTGCTCTATCACTCCCCTCCTCAGCTGAACAGAGGAGAGAAAATAAAATGAAAGGCTGTATATAAAGAAAATGTAATGAAATGGGTCAAGATAAAGACAGGGAGAGATCATTCACCAGTTACTGTCACAGGCAAAACAGACTTGACCTGGGGAAATTGGCTTAATTTACTACCACTCGAATCAGAGTAGGGTAATGAGTAATAAAACCAATTCTTTAAACACCTTCCCCCTAGCTCTCCCTTCTTCCCAGGCTTAACTTTACTCCTGATTTTCTCTACCACCTCCTCCTCACACTCCCCTGAGTGACGCAGGGGAATGGGGAGTGGGAGTTGTGGTCAGTTGGTCATACATTGTTTCTGCTGCTCCTTCCTCCTCAGGAGGAGGACTCCTCACATTCTTCCCGTGCTCTATTGGGGGGTCCCACCCACGGGAGACAGCTCTTCACAAACTGCTCCAACGTGAGTTCCTTTCACAAGGTGCAGTCCTTCAGGAACAGACTGCTCCAGCGTGAGTCCACCATGGGGTCAAGAGAACTGCCAGCAAACCTGCTTTAGAGTGGGCTTCTCTCTCCATGGGTCCACAGGTCCTGCCAGGACCCTGCTCCAGTGTGGACTTCCCACGGGGTCACAGCCTCCTTTGAGCGCATCTGCCTGCTCGAATGTGGGGTCCATGGGCTGCAGGTGAATCTCTGCTCCAGCACGCTTCCTCCTCCTTTTTCACTGACCTTGGTTTCTGCAGAGTGGTTTCTCTCACATATTCTCACTCCTCTCTCTGGCTGCAATTGCTGTTGTGCAGTTTTTTACTCCCACTTCTGAAATATGTTATCCCAGAGGTACTACCACCATCGCTGATGAGCTCAGCCTTGGCCAGCGGTGGGTCCATCTTGGAGCCGACTGGCACTGGCTCTATTGGACATAGGGAAGCTTCTAGCAGCTTTTCACCGAAGCCACCCCTATAGCCCCCCCCACTACCAAAACCTGGCCACACAAACCCAGTATAAATTTTCATAAAGGTGTGGCATTAGAGAGATTAACCACCTCCCTTTCAAGGCCAAGGTCTTTGAGTCTCTGTGACTTATATTAACAAAGGAATTAAGTAAACAGCAGTAACATACTTTTTCTTTCAGACTCATGAATTGTATGGCATCAAGACAGCTTATTTAGTACTTCAGTACAGTGAATACATCCATGAGTTGTAAGTTTTTACAGGCTGCCAAGAAAAGATATGCATATTTTCCAAGTATCTGCCTAAAGCATTATTTAGGCATTTACGTATTGCTGTTTTCTCTATTCAGAAACTGGGTTTTCTTGAATGTTACTGATGCTGTGTTGTTAGCTGGATTAAAGTGTGGCAAAGTACCAAATTTTTACCTTCAATAACTAACCCTCTGTCCTTAAAAAGCGTGAATATTCCAAAATACTCAGTTAGTTTGCATAAAAGCCAGGAGAAACAGTGTTACTGGCAATAGGCATAGACTGTGGGTAGTGGGAGGGGATAAGAGTTGGTCTACAGACAGCTTTGCAAAAAGTCCCCTCATTTAACAAAGTACACTTATAACATACACTGTTCCTGGAAAAATAATGTGTTTTTTTTTTTCTTTTTTAAATGTGATAATAGGGTAGTGACAGGTGACTGAATACTTTAAAGAGGAAAAAAAAAATGTCTTTCTTTAGCTATCTTATATACATATGCTACTATTGATTCCTCCCCTCACCCCCAGTGGCTTGTTTTGACCATAAGTCAATAAAACTACTAAATATTTTGAGGTCAAAAGATCTTTTGTATGTACATT